CACGAACACTCATCCTTTGGGCGACATTTGAGTCTACTCACACAAACACTCATCCTTTGGGCGACATGTGAGTCGACTCACATAAACACTCATCCTTTGGGCGACATTTGAGTCGACTCACACAAACACTCATCCTTTGGGCGACATTTGAGTCGACTCACACAAACACTCATCCTTTGGGCGACATTTGAGTCGACTCACACAAACACTCATCCTTTGGGCGACATTTGAGTCGACTCACACAAACACTCATCCTTTGGGCGACATTTGAGTCGACTCACACAAACATGTTCATCCTTTGGGCGACATTTGAGTCGACTCACACAAACACTCATCCTTTGGGCGACATTTGAGTCGACTCACACAAACACTCATCTTTTGGGCGACATTTGAGTCGACTCACACAAACACTCATCCTTTGGACGACATTTGAGTCGACTCAGAAAAACACTCATCCTTTGGGCGACATTTGAGTCGACTCACACAAACACTCATCCTTTGGGCGACATTTGAGTCGACTCACACAAACACTCATCCTTTGGGCGACATTTAAGTCGACTCACACAAACACTCATCCTTTGGTGGACATTTGAGTCGACTCACATAAACACTCATCCTTTGGGCGACATCTGAGTCGACTCACACAAACACTCATCCTTTGGGCGACATTTGAGTCGAATCACACAAACACTAATCCTTTGGGCGACATTTGAGTCGACTCACACAAACACTCATCCTTTGGGCGACATTTGAGTCGACTCAACACAACCACTCATCCTTTGGGCGACATTTGAGTCGACTCAGAAAAACACTCATCCTTTGGGCGACATTTGAGTCGACTCACACAAACACTCATCCTTTGGGCGACATTTGAGTCGACTCACACAAACACTCATCCTTTGGGCGACATTTGAGTCGACTCACACAAGCACTCATCCTTTGGGCGACATTTGAGTGGAATGACACAAACACCCTACGCCCGCACGCCGGGAGGTCGTTGCACCCCACGCCTGAACGCCGGAAGGTTGTTGCACCCTCCGCCCGCACGCCGGGAGGTCGTTGCACCCTCCGCCCGCTCACCGGGAGGTCGTTGCATCCTTTGCCCGCTCGCCAAGAGGTCGTTGCACCCTCCGCCCGCTCGCCGGGAGGTCGTTGCACCTCCGGCCCGCTCGCCGGGAGGTCGTTGCACCCACCGCCCACTCGTCAAGATGTGGTTGCACCCTCTGCCCGCTCGCCAAGAGGTCGTTGTACCCTCCGCCCGCTCGCCGGGAGGTCGTTCAACCCACCGCCCGCTCGTCGGGAGGTCGTTGCACCCTCCGCCCGATCGGCGGGAGGTTGTTGCACCCCCCGCCCGCTCGCCGGGAGGTCGTTGCACCCCTCGCCCACTCGCCGGGAGGTCGTTGCATCCCTCGCCCGCTCGCCGGGAGGTCGTTGCATCCTTCGCCTGTTCGCCGGGAGGTCGTTGCACCCCACGCCCGCTCGCCGGGAGGTCGTTGCACCCCACGCCCGCTCGCCGGGAGGTCGTTGCACCCCACGCCCGCACGCCGGGAGGTCGTTGCACCCCACGCCCGCACGCCGGGTGGTCGTTGCACCCCACGCCTGAACGCCGGGAGGTCGTTGCACCCCCCGCCCGCTCGCCAGAAGGTCGTTGCACCCCCCGCCCGCTCGCCGGGAGGTTGTTGCACCCTTCGCCCGCTCGCCGGGAGGTCGTTGCATCCCTCGCCCGCTCGCCGGGAGGTCGTTGCACCCCACGCCCGCTCGCTGTGAGGTCGTTGCATCCCACGCCCGCTCGCCGGGAGGTCGTTGCACCCTACGCCTGCTCGCCGGGAGGTCGTTGCACCCCCCGCCCGTGCGCCGGGAGGTCGTTGCACCCTCTGTCCGCTCGCTAGGAGGTCGTTGCACCCTCCGCCCGCTCGCCGGGAGGTCGTTGCACCCCCCGCCCGCTCGTCCGGAGGTCGTTGCACCCCCTGCCCGCTCGTCAGGAGGTCGTTGCACCCCCCGCCCGCTCGTCGGGAGGTCGTTGCACCCTCCGCCCGCTCTTCGGGAGTCGTTGCACCCCCCGCCCGCTCGCCGGGAGATCGTTGCACCCCTCGCCCGCTCGCCGGGAGGTCGTTGCACCCCTCGCCCGCTCGCCGGGAGGTCGTTCCATCCCTCGCCCGCTCGCCGGGAGGTCTTTGCACCCCACGCCCGCTCGCCGGGAGGACGTTGCACCCCACGATCGCTCGTAGGGAGGTCGTTGCACCCCACGCCCGCTCGCCGGGAGGTCGTTGCACCCCACGCCGGGAGGTCGTTGCACCCCCCGCCCGCTCTCCGGGAGGTTGTTGCACCCTCCGCCCGCTCGCGAGGAGGTCGTTGCACCCCCCGCCCGCTCGCCGGGAGGTCGTTGCACCCCTCACCCGCTCGCCAGGAGGTCGTTACACCCCCCGCCCGCTCGTCGGGAGGTCGTTGCACCCCACGCCCGCTCGCCGGGAGGTCGTTGCACCCCATTCCCCCTCACTCCCTCACCCCTCACTACATTTCCCCTCACTTATATAACCCCTCACTCATTTTTCCCCCACTTCTGTGAGTGAGGGGGAATGGAGTGAGAGGAAATCCCCCCTCACTTCATTTCCCCTGACGTCCATCCCCCCTAACTCTCTTCCCCCTCACTTCATTTCCCCTGACTTGTATTCCCCCTCACTCAATTTCCCCTCACTTCCATCCCTCCTCATCCCTGTCCCCCTCACTTTGTTTCCCCTCACTTCCATTCCCCCTCACTCCCTTCCCCCTCACTACATTTCCCCTCACTTATATTTCCCCTCACTCGTTTTCCCCCCACTTCTGTGAGTGAGGGGGAATGGAGTGAGAGGAAATCCCCCCTCACTTCATTTCCCCTCACTTGTATTTCCCCTCACTCAATTTCCCCTCACTTCCATCCCCCCTCACTTGTATTCCCCCTCACTCAATTTCCCCTCCCTTCCATCCCTCCTCATCCTTGTTCCCGAACTTTGTTTCATCTCACTTCAATTTCCCCTCACTCTCTTCCCCCTCACTTCATTTCCCCTCACTTGTATTTCCCCTCACTCAATTTCCCCTCACTTCCATCCCCCCTCACTTTTATTCCCCCTCACTCAATTTCCCCTCACTTCCATCCCTTTAATTCCCCCTCACTCCCTTCCCCCTCAGTAGATTTCCCCTCACTTATATTTCCCCTCACTCGTTTTCCCCCCACTTCTGTGAGTGAGGGGGAATGGAGTGAGAGGAAATCCCCCCTCACTTCATTTCCCCTCACTTCCATCCCCCCTCACTCTCTTCCCCCTCACTTCATTTCCCCTCACTTGTATTTCCCCTCACTCAATTTCCCCTCACTTCCATCCCCCCTCACTTGTATTCCCCCTCACTCAATTTCCCCTCACTTCCATCCCTCCTCATCCCTGTCCCCCTTATTTTGTTTCCCCTCACTTCCATTCCCCCTCACTCCCTTCCCCCTCACTACATTTCCCCTCACTTATATTTCCCCTCACTCGTTTTCCCCCCACTTCTGTGAGTGAGGGGGAATGGAGTGAGAGGAAATCCCCCCTCACTTCATTTCCCCTCACTTCCATCCCCCCTCACTCTCTTCCCCCTCACTTCATTTCCCCTCACTTGTATTTCCCCTCACTTCCATCCCCCCTCACTTGTATTCCCCCTCACTCAATTTCCCCTCACTTCCATCCCTCCTCATCCCTGTCCCCCTCACTTTGTTTCCCCTCACTTCCATTTCTCCTCACTCCCTTCCCCCTCAGTAGATTTCCCCTCACTTATATTTCCCTTCACTCGTTTTCCCCCCACTTCTGTGAGTGAGGGGGAATGGAGTGAGAGGAAATCCCCCCTCACTTCATTTCCCCTCACTTCCAGCCTCCCTCACTCTCTTCCCCCTCACTTCATTTCCCCTCACTTGTATTTTCCCTGACTCAGTTTCCCCTCACTCCCATCCCCCCTCACTTGTATTCCCTCTCACTCAATTTCCCCTCACTTCCATCCCTCCTCATCCCTGTCCCCCTCACTTTGTTTCCCCTCACTTCCATTCCCCCTCACTCCCTTCCCCCTCACTACATTTCCCCTCACTTATATTTCCCCTCACTCGTTTTCCCCCCACTTCTGTCAAACATTATACATGTTGTATTTGTGTAGGCTGTAGTGGGTTAGCCTATAGGGGGGTCACAACATTAGGGTTTCATATTTGTACTCACAATCCTTGCTAGTCCATCATTCCAGTCCGTTATTTCTGACATGGTATCAGAGCAGGTCCTTCGCTAGGACTGTTCTTAGGGCCCACCGTTACCTACATACCTACCTACCTACCGTGCGCCTCGTGCGCCTACGCGCCCTCGTGCGCCTCCTACCTACCGCGCGCGCGCAGCCCGCCAGCCGCCCGCGCGCGACTCGACTTTTTTTTTTTTTTTTAGCGCGCGTATCCCGCTAGCCGCCCGCGCGCGGTCGATTTCGCTGCGCGCGCCCCGCTAGCCGCACGCGCGCGGCTGTTTTCTTTACGCGCGGCCCCGCACGCTGCCCGCGCGCTGCCTGTGCGCCTCGCTGACGCGCCCGCTGCTGCAGCCGCCCGTCGCCCGCTCGCGCACACCCCGCCGTGGCCCCGCAGGCCCGCAGCTCGCCGCCGCAGCTGCCGCACGCCCGTTGCCCGCATCCGCCCGTCCGCCGACGCCGCTGCCGCCCGTGCACCGACGCCGCTGCCACCCGTGCGCTGCTGCCGCTGCTGCTTGCGCACCGCTCGCTGCTGCAGCCGCCCGTGCGCTGTCGGCGCTGCTGCCCGTGCGTATCAGCCGCTGCCGCCCGTGCGCCTCTGCAGCCGCCGCCCGCGAGTCGCCCGCTACCGCTAGTGCGCCGCAGCTCCTGCCCTTCGGTCGCGCACCGCTGCAGCTCCTGCTGTCGCGCTCCCTACTACTGCCGCTCGTGCACCACGCCGGCCCCGTTGACCCTGCGCACACCTTTCCAGCGGCCTTGTTCCTACTGCTACTGTCACTATGGCTAGTCCTCCCGTTCTAGCTTTCGATGCCGAGGGCCGCCCAGTGAAGTTCGAAACCTGGCTAGATGACCTGCACCTGTTCCTACAGCTCACTGCCAAGGAAGATATCTCACTGTACGACCATGCCCTAGGCCATGCCACTGCCCCTGACTCGTCTGCTGACAGCACTCTGCGTTCCCAGTGGCAGACCCGTGATGCGCACGCTCGCTTTGCTATTCGCAACTCCCTGCCGCTAGACGAGCGCGAGCACTTCGGCCAGTGCAAGACTGCTAAGGACCTCTACACTGCTGTAGTTGCCCGCTACTCCTCACCCGCTTCTGCCACGCTAGGCCGCCTCACTCTCCCCTACCTGTTCCCCGACCTAGCCTCCTTTCACACTGTCGCAGACCTCATCACCCACCTTAAGACTAGTGAGGCCCGCTTTCGCGCTGCTATGCCTGCCGAGTTTCTCACTAGCAACCCCCCCCCCGCTCTGGATCACTCTCTACCACATCGTCACCCGCCTCCCTGACTCTCTGCACGCAGTCAGGGACCACTTCCTCTCTCGCTCCCCCACTAAGCTCACTGTTGCCCTCCTCGAGAAGGAACTGCTTGCAGCTGAGGCGAGCATCGTCGCTGTAGGCACCTCTCGTGGCGACCCCCGCACCCCGTTCTTTGAGGGGTGTTCCCCTTCCCCCCTCCTCCCCTCTGTCGCCTCTGCTGCTGCTGTCGACCTTCTTGGTGCTGAGAAGGTCGGGACCGCGTCTGCTTCGAGCGGGCGCCGCAGGAACAAGGGGGGCAGGGGTGGGGGTGGCGGCGGAGGAGGTGGGGGTGGAGGCGGTGGGAGTGGAGGCGCGGCTGGGGAGACTAGTGGCGGCAGTGGGGGAGGAGACAGCAGCGGTGGGAGTGGTGGTGGAGGCGGCAGCGGAGGCGGAGGTGGTCGTGGCGGCGGCAGGGGTGGAGGTGGCCGGGGCGGCGGCGGTGGGGGTGGTGGTCGTGGAGGCACTGGCGGAGGGCAGAGTCAGCAGCCCACCCCGACGCTTCAGGCCGCCCGTGAGTGGTATGCGCAGCGTAGCGTTACCTGCACGTACGTCATTCGCACAGGTGACCGCAGCGGCCAGCAGTGTGGGAGGCCGCACCCCACGCAGCGCTGCTTCGCGCGCCTTAACGACGCGTGGCGCACTCAGTTTCCTGCTGCCACTGAGCTGCCGCGCTGGGCTGATCTGGAAAAGAGGGGTGTTGATATTTGGGCTCTACCGTTATTTCTGACAACTTCTGTGAGTGAGGGGGAATGGAGTGAGAGGAAATCCCCCCTCACTTCATTTCCCCTCACTTCCATCCCCCCTCACTCTCTTCCCCTTCACTTCATTTCCCCTCACTTGTATTTCCCCTCACTCAATTTCCCCTCACTTCCATCCCCCCTCACTTGTATCCCCCCTCACTCAATTTCCCCTTACTTCCGTCCCTCCTCATCCCTGTCCCCCTCACTTTGTTTCCCCTCACTTCCATTCCCCCTCACTCCCTTCCCCCTCACTACATTTCCCCTCACCTATATCTCCTCTCACTCGTTTTCCCCCCATTTCTGTGAGTGAGGGGGAATGGAGTGAGAGGAAATCCCCCCTCACTTCATTTCCCCTCACTTCCATCCCCCCTCACTCTCTTCCCCCTCACTTCATTTCCCCTCACTTGTATTTCCCCTCACTCAATTTCCCCTCACTTCCATCCCCCCTCACTTGTATTCCCCCTCACTCAATTTCTCCTCACTTCCATCCCTCCTCATCCCTGTCCCCCTCACTTTGTTTCCCCTCACTTCCATTCCCCCTCACTCCCTTCCCCCTCACTACATTTCCCCTCACTCGTTTTCCCCCCACTTCTGTGAGTGAGGGGGAATGGAGTGAGAGGAAATCCCCCCTCACTTCGTTTCTCCTCACTTCCATCCCCCCTCACTCTCTTCCCCCTCACTTCATTTCCCCTCACTTGTATTTCCCCTCACTCAATTTCCCCTCACTTCCATCCCCCCTCACTTGTATTCCCCCTCACTAAATTTCCCCTCACTTTTATCCCTCCTCATGCCTGTCCCACTCACTTTGTTTCCCCTCACTTCCATTCCCCCTCACTCCCTTCCCCCTCACTACATTTCCCCTCACTTATATTTCCCCTCACTCGTTTTCCCCCCACTTCTGTGAGTGAGGGGGAATGGAGTGAGAGGAAATCCCCCCTCACTTCATTTCCCCTCACTTCCATCCCCCCTCACTCTCTTCCCCCTCACTTCATTTCCCCTCACTTGTATTTCCCCTCACTCAATTTCCCCTCACTTCCATCCCCCCTCACTTGTATTCCCCCTCACTCAATTTCCCCTCACTTCCATCCCTCCTCATCCCTGTCCCCCTCACTTTGTTTCCCCTCACTCCCTTCCCCCTCACTACATTTCCCTGTCAGAGGTCCACTGGAGATACCCGATGATCCTAGGGAAGGGTTACAGGCACGTCGGCCTGGGGGGTTATGGGCGCACTCACCCGCTACACAAACAAGCCCTTTTATCCCAGTGGTTAGTGACTGGGATTCTGACATGGTATCAGAGCGAAGGTCTCGGGTTCGATTCCCGGTGTGTGCACTTCGGGCATCCCAGTGCGGGGGGGTGTCAGAGGTCCACTGGGGATCCCCGATGATCCTAGGGAAGGGTTACAGGCACGTCGGCCTGGGGGGTTATGGGCGCACTCACCCGCTACACAAACAAGCCCTTTTATCCCAGTGGTTAGTGACTGGGATTCTGACATTCCCCTCACTTATATTTCCCCTCACTCGTTTTCCCCCCACTTCTGTGAGTGAGGGGGAATGGAGTGAGAGGAAATCCCCCCTCACTTCATTTCCCCTCACTTCCATCCCCCCTCACTCTCTTCCCCTTCACTTCATTTTTCCTTACTTGTATTTCCCCTCACTCAATTTCCCCTCACTTCCATCCCCCCTCACTTGCATTCCCCCTCACTCAATTTCCACTCACTTCTATCCCTCCTCATCCCAGTCCCCCTCACTTTGTTTCCCCTCACTTCCATTCCCCCTCACTCCCTTCCCCCTCACTACATTTCCCCTCACTTATATTTCCCCTCACTCGTTTTCCCCCCACTTCTGTGAGTGAGGGGGAATGGAGTGAGAGGAAATCCCCCCTCACTTCATTTCCCCTCACTTCCATCCCCCCTCACTCTCTTCCCCCTCACTTCGTTTCCCCTCACTTGTATTTCCCCTCACTCAATTTCCCCTCACTTCCATCCCCCCTCACTTGCATTCCTTCTCACTCAATTTTCCCTCACTTCCATCCCTCCTCATCCCTGTCCCCCTCACTTTGTTTCCCCTCACTTCCATTCCCCCTCACTCCCTTCCCCCTCACTACATTTCCCCTCACTTATATTTCCCCTCACTTCCATCCCCCCTCACTTGTTGTGGGTGTGAAAAGTAGAATAATCTAGAGGACTAGCAAAAAAAATGGGGCATCCAATGCAGTGGACCAATCAAAGTGATGCGTTGGGCAGTCGGGGCAGTATGCGCACCTATAATGGGCGCACCAGGCAGATTTCGGGCGCTCAAATCTTGCAAACGACATGGAACGAAATGGAGCCACTTGTTGTGGGTGTGGAAAATAGTCTAATATAGAGGACTAGCAATAAAAAAGGGGCATCCAATGCAGTGGACCAATCAAAGTGATGCGTTGGGCAGTCGGGGCAGTATGCGCACCTATAATGGGCGCACCAGGCAGATTTCGGGCGCTCAAATCTTGCAAACGACACGGAACGAAATGGAGCCACTTGTTGTGGGTGTGGAAAATAGACTAATCTAGAGGACTAGCAAAAAAAATGGGGCATCCAATGCAGTGGACCAATCAAAGTGATGCGTTGGGCAGTCGGGGCAGTATGCGCACCTATAATGGGCGCACCAGGCAGATTTCGGGCGCTCAAATCTTGCAAACCATACAGAACGAAATGGAGCCACTTGTTGTGGGTGTGGAAAATAGACTAATCTAGAGGACTAGCAAAAAAAAAGGGGGAATCCAATGCAGTGGACCAATCAAAGTGATGCGTTGGGCAGTCGGGGCAGTATGCGCACCTATAATGGGCGCACCAGGCAGATTTCGGGCGCTCAAATCTTGCAAACGACACGGAACGAAATGGAGCCACTTGTTGTGGGTGTGGAAAAAAGACTAATCTAGAGGACTAGTAAGAAAAAGGGGCATCCAATGCAGTGGACCAATCAAAGTGATGCGTTGGGCAGTCGGGGCAGTATGCGCACCTATAATGGGAATAGACTAATCTAGAGGACTAGCAAAAAACAAGGGGAATCCAATGCAGTGGATTAATGATGATGCATTGGGCAGTCGGGGCAGTATGCGCACCTATAATGGGCGCACCAGGCAGATTTCAGGCGCACAAATCTTGCAAACGACACGGAACGAAATGGAGCCACTTGTTGTGGGTGTGGAAAATAGTCTAATCTAGAGGACTAGGGAAAAAAGGAGCATCTAATGCAGTGGACCAATCAAAGTGATGCGTTGGGCAGTCGGGGCAGTATGCGCACCTATAATGGGCGCACCAGGCAGATTTCGGGCGCTCAAATCTTGCAAACGACATGGAACGAAATGGAGCCACTTGTTGTGGGTGTGGAAAAAAGACTAATCTAGAGGACTAGCAAAAAAAATGGGGCATCCAATGCAGTGGACCAGTCAAAGTTTTGCGTTGGGCAGTCGGGGCAGTATGCGCACCTATAATGGGCGCACCAGGCAGATTTCGGGCGCTCAAATCTTGCAAACCACATGGAACGAAATAGAGCCACTTGTTGTGGGTGTGGAAAATAGACTAATCTAGAGGACTAGCAAAAAAAATGGGGCATCCAATGCAGTGGACCAGTCAAAGTTTTTCGTTGGGCAGTCGGGGCAGTATGCGCACCTATAATGGGCGCACAAGGTAGATTTCGGGCGCTCAAATCTTGCAAACCACACGGAACAAAATAGAGCCACTTGTTGTGGGTGTGAAAAAAATACTAATCTAGAGGACTAGCAAAAAAAATGGGGCATCCAATGCAGTGGACCAATCAAAGTGATGCGTTGGGCAGTCGGGGCAGTATGCGCACCTATAATGGGCGCACCAGGCAGATTTCGGGCGCTCAAATCTTGCAAACCACACGGTACGAAATGGAGCCACTTGTTGTGGGTGTGGAAAAAATACTAATCTAGAGGACTAGCAAAAAAAATGGGGCATCCAATGCAGTGGACCAATAAAAAAGATGCGTTGGGCAGTCGGGGCAGTATGCGCACCTATAATGGGCGCACCAGGCAGATTTCGGGCGCTCAAATCTTGCAAACGACACGGAACGAAATGGAGCCACTTGTTGTGGGTGTGGAAAAAAGACTAATCTAGAGGACTAGGAAAAAAAAGGGGGCATCCAATGCATTGGACCAATCAAAAAGATGCATTGGGCAGTCGGGGCAGTATGCGCACCTATAATGGGCGCACCAGGCAGATTGAGCGCCCAAACGACACGGAACGAAATGGAGCCACTTGTTGTGGGTGTGGAAAATAGACTAATCTAGAGGACTATTAAAAAAAAGGGGCATCCAATGCAGTGGACCAATCAAAGTGATGCGTTGGGCAGTCGGGGCAGTATGCGCACCTATAATGGGCGCACCAGGCAGATTTCGGGCGCTCAAATCTTGCAAACGACATGGAACGAAATGGAGCCACTTGTTGTGGGTGTGGAAAATAGACTAATCTAGAGGACTAGCAAAAAAAATGGGGCATCCAATGCAGTGGACCAATCAAAGTGATGCGTTGGGCAGTCGGGGCAGTATGCGCACCTATAATGGGCGCACCAGGCAGATTTCGGGCGCTCAAATCTTGCAAACGACATGGAACGAAATGGAGCCACTTGTTGTGGGTGTGGAAAATAGTGTAGAGGAGTAGCAAAAAAAAGGGGGCATCCAGTGCAGTGGACCAATCAAAGTGATGCGTCGGGGCAGTATGCGCACCTATAATGGGCGCACCAGGCAGATTTCGGGCGCTCAAATCTTGCAAACGACATGGAACGAAATGGAGCCACTTGTTGTGGGTGTGGAAAATAGACTAATCTAGAGGACTAGCAGAGAAAAAGTGGCATCCAATGCAGTGGACCAATCAAAGTGATGCGTTGGGCAGTCGGGGCAGTATGCGCACCTATAATGGGCATACCAGGCAGATTTCGGGCGCTCAAATCTTGCAAACGACACGGAACGAAATGGAGCCACT